CCATCATGCGCCTGCGGTACCGTCCCGACCACAACTATTTCCTACAATATTTCGTTTACCTAACTTAAATACGTAAAGCGCACGTCGAGAGACTATGTACGGTACATTAGATTTTGGTATGCAGTTTGAGGTTAACTCATTTAACATTGAAATTTAAATAAATTAGAATGGGTGAATACAAATTCAACTGCATTAGACATAATTTCAAGCAATTCTTAGAATATATTACTGTAACTGTTTAGAGATAAATGTGGAGTGGCATTTTAAAGCCGACGAATTTTCATAACGACATAACGTCCGTCGTTTGTAACGTCAACATATTTGTAACCTTGTTAACTTTGCGCCATCAAAGTCTCGACAATCACGAGTATATACACTGTCATTACATAATCGTTCTATAATCACTTTTCCGACAGCTACAATCGACTCCGGCTCATTGTTGCGCGAATCGCCGTTTGTTTGTCGTGCAATTAATGACGAAGAGGAGAGCTAATTATCAGCACACGCTGTAAAACGAGCGCCCTCTAATTTGCATTCGTTGCTAATTAGTTCCTAGCAACGAATAATTATTTGAATTTTGCTAATCAACATCACGAACACGTTAGGATCTTCGGTCAGACGTCGGATTATTATTGTAACATGCAAATTAATAGATGCATATGGAGGTATTTAAGTTTACTAGACGTCGAAACTTACATATTATAAATAATACGCGAAATGTGATTTTTTTAATATCGGCATTTAAGTATTTTTAATAAAATGATATGGCGCTTAAAGAGGAAAAGATCTTCCCAACAACAAATCAATATTGTAATAATATCCACAATTTTCATCTGTTATAAAAAAACGACCGCAAATCGTTATAAATCAGCAGTATTATCATTTTTAATATATATTCTATATTTGACAGAAGTAGAATATAGCTCGAAAGAATAGCATGTATAGAGGAACATATACCATGCTTTAGTAGCTGGAATACTTTTTTTTCCATACGTCCATAAAACAGAAGATTATGCTTATATAGTTTATAGAAGAAAATCACAAGTAAGGTGAATGAGTCTCATTGAGACTATAAAATGAACGGAATAAATGCTTCTTGTCACTTATATATCAGAAGACAACTCATCTTGCCAGATGCTTCGCACAATTCTCGGAACATTTTTGCATACTGAATTCCACTCGACTTCAGAAGTCTATCTCTTGATAATGTCTTTTGCTTAATTTTGTTTAACGTAAACTATTAAACTTAGGTGACGTCAAGTTAGAGTTTCAAGTTAGAGTCTCGAACGGGACCCGTTGGACGGGCGACCATAACCTTCGTGGTTCTCTCAGATGTTTTAGTAATTGGAATGCGTAATTTTCGGCGAGCATTGTTCTCCGTAGAAGACTGCATGACGAATGACGTGCGACATCGTCAAGGAAATTGCGTCTTAAATCTTGCAGACCGGAATTCCTTTCGCTCGACATGCCAAGCAACTTGCTCATCCTTCCCCTTTCTTACCCCTCTCCTGCCTTTGTCTCTCTTACACACACCTCAAGAACCTAATTCCAATTATGCTTCACCTGTTTCTAAACTTGTAACAATTGAAAATCGTAGAATATTTCCAGATTTCCCACTAAATTTTCCACGATTATTATATACATTTACGTGATCGTAACTATTCTCCATGCTTTCCTCTTCAATGTTAAAAATGTAGCACTCGTGTGTTTATGTGTGTATACTTTTATACGATCTTATGCGCAAAATTATGAAAACGTTACCATGCTGACGATAAGTTGCAGTATTCATTCCCAGTTGTGATCCGATTACATTTGGCGATGTTGGAATGAGCGTTACGAAAAAAGAAAAAAACGTGCATTACAGCAATTCATACATAAAAACGTGGACGTATCATTTGATCTCGTACCAGAGCGCGGGGCGAGTACAATACGCTAACACACTCGATGATTGGTGTAAATACAATATACGTGCATGCACGTGCGCACGTTTAAACGCGAACTCGTTCGCGGTGATCCATAATCAAGGACACGCGCGATATCTCACAGACAGAATATCCTAGATCCGACACTGGAGATTACTGAACGGCGAATGGATAGCTGTTGCGGAAAAGTCACGCGAAGTTGGGCATCGCGGAGATCGTATCGCGAGGGCGTCATCACGATTTTCGCGCCTAGCTGAAAATTTCTCGTAATCGCACGACCTAACCTCCCACCTAACTGCCATAACCTCGTAGATAAATGTGCTCTTTGACATTTGAAATTATTTGCACATTGTTTCTGTTGCGCACCGTTGCAATATTATACGGGATGTTGAATGGCTGTACCTGCAAGCTTCATCGACGAATGAAATTAAGTTAGCTTAGGTTAGTTTAGGTTAGTTTAGATTAAGTTTAGATTACGGTTAAATTAGGTTAGGTTAGGTTGTTATCAATTTGAAACTGACTGTTTTGAATGAACATTCGAGTTTACTTTATGAGAAGTTCCTCCTCCCGGTTTTCAATATTCAACTCAAAATTTGTAGTCTTTTCAATGCCTCGTTTATATTGAGCTGGCCTTAACATTACTATACTACCCATTTCCGATTTTGTTGAAATTTTACAGATAGATATATTAAATGTAGCTACTAGTACGGCGTTGTAGAAATGCCTAATTTCCGAGAAATTCACATAAAATTTGAATTTCTCGGGGGCAACTCGCACTTGCGCCTACATCTAATTAGCGATACATACCTGTAAGATTTCATGAAAATCGGAGATGAGTGGTTTACCAAAGTCTTACCTGAAGCTGCTGAGAACCTCTGCTTTAATTTCCCCACGATCTATAGAACGTCGCGGGAGCCATTACAAGTAGAATTAGACACTTTGCTTGTTAATCAGCTCATAATGCTGAGTTTTTTAACAAAATCCTCAGTAAGCCTCCCCAACACAAATAGTCCGCCGAAGTATTTCTCATTAAGTACTCCGCATAAAATCGGAGCGAGAAAAGTGCCTCTTCATAGAAGCGATTCAAGATTCAGCGGGATTGAAAGCGCTTCATTATATGCTACGCCCGGTAAGTGGTTCTTTCGATCGGGACGTATGCGCCATCGGCGGGATCTCCATTCGTCGGGGTGGAATTTCTTTGTCGCGCCCTTCCGCGGAAACGGACGAAGAGAGGGGAGGGGTGTCCTCGGATTGGAATAGCCCGGTAACAACCGTCGCGGCATTTTCTAGCTTTTGAGATGCGAAAAAATAACGATGCAGCAGGCATGCATACAATCACGTGGCGAAATATGCCAGCCACCATCCACGACGAAGGGCCCGAGGCGTCACGGCGTAGCATGCATCGGGGCAGGGAATGTTAAATGCGAAATGCAGGGAAACGCGTGTCCCTATCCCGGGCAAAAACAAACGATAGTCGCGGACAAAGGCGCCAAAGTAATGACGCGTGCAGCGAAAGAGCGACAAAATAAAGCGCGCGCAAGATGAGCGCCATTTAAAGCGCCCAGACAATATCCGCGCAACACATCGACGATAGAATTTACATTCGCTTCTTGTATATCTTTTATGCGATCGATATAAATGCACGCAAACCATTGATTCCCGTAGCATAAAAGACCTACTATTCTTCGGTCGAAGATTCACAAAAACTCAAGAATCGAAATTCCGCAGGAAAATTTCCGAGCACTCCTTCCGGACCCCTCGGGCTTTTTATGCGATTTTTGCGACAAGTAACTTTGCTTAAATAGAACAGCCCATTGCAGGGGCCGTTCAATAATTACGAAAGGAGGGAGGTCTATTAGCTTGCGTGACGATTTATGACGGCAGGAAGGAAGGAAGGGTAAAGGCGATGGAATGTCACATCAGATGGCCATAATTTATAAATATGGATGCGCGTAGTTATCCGCTTTGTTTGCATTCGTGACACACGGTTACACTTGATGAAAGTTTCCAAGTTTTGACATGGTTCTGTATTAATAATCAAAATGTTAATTTTTAAATATTTATTCTCTTAAAAACACTACTTTCATTAATCAAGGTTATAAAGTAATTAACTTGATATTATATACTTAGAAATTATTTGTATTTTCGAAAAAAATAGCGTGTAGTTTGATCATTATTATCCGTAATACATGTAGAAACTATTTTTTTTTTCTTTTTTTTTTCTACGAGTCAGTAGAAGGAGGTAGTTCCATATGTTACATTCCCCATGTAATATTGGAGCAAATACTTTGCGATGAAATTGTGACGAAGGAGAGAAGAGGAGGGTAATATAATTGTTGGATGGCCCCTGCAGACTATAAAGTGATGTTCGTATGTGTCATTTTCCTCCGAGGAATTCCGAGAGCACACGCGAAGCCCATTTAATATACCGGTATTTCGCAGAAAATGTATTCTTAAAATGACAGCTTTCCCGACGCCGTCTTCGGACTTCTTGATTTCCGGTGCAAAGGGCACACCGAGCAGTGATCTACTAAGTATAAAGAAAAGAAAATAGTCGGCTTTTTCTAGCTGGCTGCACAGCCCAATCCAGCTAAAAGCCCCGTATAGAGGAGGAGCTCGCGCGTCTTTCCCTTGTGTTCTCCTCCTCCTAACCCTTTCCTAAACACACTATAGGTACGCGAGGGATGACAAACGGTGCGAATAGAGTGCGGATAAAGACGCAGAATTTAATGTTGCATACGTCAGGAATGTTTTGTGTCGCTTAGTACATCCATCTTCAGAGGAGCGGATCCGTGAACTCCTCCTGCACGAACTTGTCGAGGAACAATACGTCACAAGTGAAATTGGTATCTTGCATGTTTTCCGCGTAACACCGTGGCGCCGTGTAACACGAAGCACATGTCTTTCATGTAATATAGCCGTCGTGCGGCGCAAACTCTCTCCGTGCAATAAGGATAACAACGCCGTGTCATGAGATCGTTGTTTTTCAAACGTTCCGCGACGACCACTTATATATACGCGCTCCTTTGTACGCTTTCGCGTTTATTGAAAATAAGTAATAGCCGTTAAAGCACTCACCTTCCAGCTCGACAATCTTGCCGGCCCTCTTCAGCGCCTTCACCGCCTCGTCGTGCGTCGCTTCGCACAGATCCTCGCCGTTCACCGCCAGAATGGCGTCGCCAACGTAGAGCTGTTCGGTAGCGTCTGCAGCCATGCCCTTGAAAATCTTCGAGATGAGGATCGGCATTTTGTTCTCCTTGCCGCCTTTGATCGAAATCCCGAGGCCGTTGTTGTCGCTTTTGACCACGCGGACAATGCGCTTCTGATTGGCCACGGAGTCGGGCACATCCGGATCGTTGAGACTGTCCACGTTGTTATTGTTGATGTTGCCGTTATTCAGGGCGATGTTACTGGTCTCGCAGCTCTCGTCGAGCGAGATGCTGAGATAATCGTCTTCCAGAGAGACAAACACGCGATACCATTGACCGCGCACTTGGGTCTCGAGAACGCCGGCGCGACCCGACGCGGAGGACGAGGCTCCCGTGGTAGTGGTGGTCGATGAGGAGGACGACGACGTCGCCGCGGACACCACCGAGCCGATGCCCATCACCCCCATAGCCGAGGAAGCTTGGCCGCTACCACACAGCTCCACCATTTCGATTTCTTCGTAAGCCGCACGCTGCAACATAATGCCAATGGCTAAATGTACGTATTACTTTTTCTCGTCACGTATTATCATGCACTGATAGAAAATGATAGGTGAATTATATAATAACCGAACGCATTCTTATATAACGAGAGAAATTCTGTTCCCTTCAACCGAAACGCCCTTGATTGCCCACTTCCTGGTTATTCAACTATAATTTTCTATCAGCGTGTACGAGATTAAGCTTGATTATTGAAGATCCGCTTAAAAGAAGAGTTATATTAATGATTAAAAAGTATGAAAATAAATTCACGTAATTCGAGAAAATCTGAGAGAATTTTGCTTTTGAGTCATATAAGCAAATGAACAGCATTTTGCATAAATATGCAATTTACAACGCTAGATACGTTTTCGCGGAGGAAAGGAGAGGGTTAGAAAATACGATTTATCTCTCTTGCGCGACGTTCAATTTTCAATGCAGGCCTGGAGAAAAATGGCGGCGCGCAAAATGGGCAGTATAGTACGCCCCGAATAAATGGCAGCGGTACTCGACGACGTGAATAAATCAATTGTACTATATCCTGGTGAAATTCGTAATTTGAAAATAATTGATAGCGGTCGACAGTGACGTAGCCGGGGGGGCTCTCTTTGTTTTCCTCCTACGCCATTATTTCCATCAATCCAGTTTCGCGCCGCAACAATAGCGTTACCATTGCCCGCGTAAAATGGCGTATGAGCGCGGCGGAGGGCAAATAATTAGAAGAAAATTGCGCGCGCTTACGATAATGGCTTTAAACTAATTCGTGCCCCGTACACTTTTAATTAATTCAGACAGTTTTAATGAAGCTCAATGTAAACATTGGGTGTTGTATTATTGTTCGTCAAAGAAAAAAAAAAGGTTCGTAAAATTAGAATATTACCGGGAATATGTAGAAATGATGGATTAACGAAATCAAAATTCAAAATCTCGTCGAATATGCCGAACGTGAAATAATACGCGAAGTTAATTAATTAATTAACTTATGAATAATGCACACCCAGTTAAAACGTAACAATATATTTCGCGACGAGCGCGAATTTTTTTAATGATGTCAGCAAGGCTAACTTAATGAAGATTAATTATGACGAAAGCCGGTAACTTATTTGCACTAGTTACCGGACATCTTATATTCACGGTGCGCGCGTGTGTGTGTGTGTGTGTGTGTGTGTGTGATATTTTTGGCAAATATAATTTTCGCAAACTCTACATTTTTCTGAATGGAGTTCTGCTGTGTGAAAGTAATCGAATAACAGAATGCAGGTGAGCGACAGCGGCCACGTTTAATGAATGCGACGATATGACGACACGTAGGTACGTGGCAAGGTTATAATTAAAGTGTTTGTCTCTGGGAATTAGTCCTGTGCCAGTTCTGGCTTCGCGCCGCCCACATGAAAATACACGAGATGCCTTTATGGGTGACACAACCGTGTGTAGGTGCAGCCTGCTTCCAATTAACATCTGGCACCTTGCAGGATCATAAATTTGCAATATGAGTTGGAGCAATTTGACAATCATTCCTACGGAGCAAAGATTGCGCTCGAAGACTTGTATTTGCGCGTGGACAAAAATTTGCGACTATGAATCCAGCAGTCACAAGAGAAATATGGATGATTAATTTCGTCGATGTCGTCGAATCCTTTCGGCTTTTAGCCCGAAGATCTTTTTATTTTTATTTTAATACGTTCAAACTAAAATTAAATTTTAAAGTCACGGAAAACAAAAATATAGAACTCGATCGTTTAGAGATTTCTTCTCCGCACTAGAGTTCTCCTGGAGTCTTAAATTCCAATGTTCTTATATTCCCGATAACACATTGAATTACAGCGTGTCATAATAATCGTCTCTCCTTACCCATCGACGTAAACTTTGGAGGGCATCGCGTGTCACTACGCGGCTTCGGTGTCACGAAGACAAAGTCGGTTAAGACATTTCACGAACCGCTATAGTACGAGGATACTTCAGTACTTTGGAACTTCATTAGGGTAATGTAATACGAATGATATAATACGGTAAATAAATTCACTAGTGTAGTAGTGATTTGATAATCATTTTGATTTTAGTATCTCGGCACATGTATCCCTTTCAAAACGCACTTACGCATACACACATATGTGCAACTCTAATGCACTTAAACTTATAATTAATAAAGTTATACCTTATACCGCGAAGCTTTAAATTTCTCGCTTATTTTACGATGCTAAGGTTGAGCGCGCTAATATTTTTATGTGATATGCATTACATAGCAAAGCACGCCGTGGTTATTTACGTAACTTTATTGGATTCTAAAATAGAACAGTCCTACGTATTTATCCTAAAGTTATACAGGTGTCCCAAACCAACAGGGACAAACGTTGTAAGGACTGTATAGGACAAAAAAGTCCTCTACCATTTTATAAACAACGTGCAAAATTTCGTGTTATTAATTATTGGCCGTGTATTTCTTTAATTAATAACTCAAAGATTTGCATGTTATTTGCAAAATGATGCAGGACTTTTATGTTCAGAGTGGTCTGATTTACATGATAGCTGTTGTACCTAGCGACACGATTCAATATATCGATGTCTGTTCTACGCTCTTACGAATTTTGTCCCCGTTTATTCGGGACATCCTGTACATAAGTAATCCTATTAAAGGTTAAATTTAGATTTAGACGTTAAATACAAAACAAATTATTGAACCCTTGCTGTGTTCGATTACTCGGTTACCGAATAAGAGAACGTATAGAAATACACCGGAGTGAGACGCCCGCTGCGTTGCAGCGAATCAACAAGTATCGTATTAACGCTTTGAGCGTGCGTTGAGCGAATGCGAGTTGTGGTGGTTCACACGCGGATATAAATTTAAGTCGTTACAGTCCCGCGATGTCCACGGCACGATAAACTCACCTCGACCGCGAATGATCTCTTTACGTGAGGACACAGGAGGCGAAACCGAATCGATTTCCAGCTTCGATCCCACGGTAAGGATTTTACATCGCAGTTATCAACCGGACTGATATCGAAACAAAACTTTTATCAACGGGTTCATCGCGCCACCTTTAATTTCGAACGGACGTTTCTCGACAAAACCTCGAACCAGCGTAGATTTCAATTTTTCCGGAAAGCGCAACACAAAATAGTGGCAGTATCGTCGAGCCTCCTGCAAAACCCAATAATCTCAGTATACGTCGAAATACAGTACAGGCAGCGGAAGAACGGTTGCAACACTTTTACTTCGATAAATTTCAGAATACATCCAATATCCAATAGGAAGATATATCTTTTGAGAATTACCAAAAAACAATTTCCCCCATTGTGTACCAAATGCGCTCTGAAATTCATCGAGGTAAACGTGCTGCAGACTTTCTTCCACTAGCTGGGTCGGTTAGCAGTAATGCCGTCTCATTCTCAGGATTACTAAAAATATTCTACGAAACACATCTTATCTGAGATATCTTATTATCGTCGTTATTAAGATAGATATCTTATCGTCGATGGATGTGTAGTCGCAAAAAAATTATATCATAAATATGCAAACATTTTTTTAGATACAGCAGTTTTAGTTGCCTCTCAATATTGTTGTCTTAAGTCACAAACCAGGTGAACTTTAAATACGTAATAGATAGAGATTTAATGAATAAAAGGATTAAATACAATAAAATCTAGAAGCCTCAAATTATAAATACCAAAGTAGACCCAAACATTTTTGTGGTCAAAAAATCTTTCTGGAATCTGAATGCATGTAGATATATTCTCTCACGCACTACGTCCTTTGCGCTACGTGGCTATGCGTGATTTTAACCACAACATGTCGAATTCTAAACGTACCGAGTAAGCTTGACTTATTTTACAAAAATAATCCAGTTGCACTAATTTAATCCATCCTAAAAGCCGTTGGCAAAACATTCGGCGACATAACGTAAATAGGCTTTCAACAGCGCGAATAAAAATGTAAAAAGCGTCGCGCAGTGAGCGACGCCATTTTAACCAAATTGATCCGCGCGAAGTATTAAAATGCGGAAACAGACGTCGCCTGTTCGTTTTAGCCGATACACGTGCACGCGCGAATGCGTCGAGCCGCGTGCCCATGCGTATGGAGAGAGTAGGTAGGGGGCGGGGAGAACGGGGAGCAAGGTGGGGAGGTTGGGGAATTTTGTCTGGATGTGCCTGGGTAATCGGAAAATGCATTACGCGCGTGCATCACGCCGCAGAAATAAGCCGCAACGCAAAAATCAAGCGAAAAAATGCGAGTCTTTCGGTTGCCCGATTCGATTAAAACGGTATTGGCGAAAAATAAGATTCTTTTATATCCCTCTTTAATCCTTGCTCGTACGAAAATTCCACGATTTCGTAGATACCTAAAGGAGAATTCTCCGAGGAATTCTAAATTTTCTTTCAATTTAAAAATTAACGTTTAGCATTTCTCTTTTCCTTCTCACATCTCTGTCATTTCTTTTTTTCCCTTCTTTTTGCAAGAGATTTGAATGTTATATTGCATGTGACGATGCATCTAGTATATTTTCTCATAGGAATAGGTTTTATTTATTTTTCGAAGGTAGCCCTCGAACTTGTCTTAATATATTTGTACAATTTGTCGTCAACGCCTCCCGCTACGTTAAAACAAGCAACAAAACTTAGAGGAAGAAGAGTGACACGTGTGTAAAATATGAGGGAGAGCTCGTGTAAACATTTATGGAAACATTCCTTTAACCGGAGAAGCGATTCTACAATATGGAGACAATATCAATCACGATCCTCGAACGACTCTTCGAAGCGGAAATTATTTACATTCGGCAAAAGTACTCGACTATGTAACAAGTTCCAATTTTACAGCAAAAAAAAGTCAAAATCGCAAAATTAAAATATCTGTATCACGTGACGATTAGTGCGCAAATAACACAAGCACAGGATAACAATACACTTTCTGGAAATAGCGTAAACGATAAACAATCCGCAAAAAGCTGTTCTATGCTGTCACTTCTCGACATGCTCGATGATATTTTCGTAGCAACCAATACAGTCTCAACATTGTGCTACCACTCAGAAAGGAGATACTCCCAGACTTCATGTTTATGCAAATTCTATCATCGCGTGCTACTAGGGCGCACGTTTTGGTCGTACAGCGCTCGGAAATAATAATAATGTTAATGAAAATAACAACATCCAATATTTGAACGTTGAATGATTATGCGCTCTGTATTTCGTTATTATTGTTAAACTCCTCGCGATCAAAAGGCTAATTTTAGAAACTCATTTCTACTTTATAATAAATCAAAAACCCAATAAAATAAAATGTAGTAAAATTGTGATATTATTGCAGAAATATATGTAGAATACATCAAGCTCCAGTGTGTTGTGACAAGTATACATTCTTGAAAAATAAAAGAATCGTGCAAATATCATCATCGTGACCCCCCCCCCCCCCCCAGCANCCCCCCCCGGAACAAATAAAAGATTTGCCTTACCGGGCCAAGAAATATGATCTTAGGAAAGATTTGGCGCAACTTTTCCACGTTACTCTCTTCTTCGAACTATCGCCGTTGATTTTTCACTGCATCGTACTCCGTTCTCTCACCTACTATCTTTTCCCCTTTTTCTCTGTGAATGTGTCGGCGCCGTGGCTACTTTCAACGACGAATGAAGAGCCGCGGATGCCAGCTGGTTTTACGCGCTCGTCAGCGTCGTCTAATTCAATTACGCCATCCGGTACAATCTCCGTCTACCCGGTGGCGTATTTATAGCCGCGCGAATGATTCCTCCCTCGCCGCGCTTTTCCGCCCTCGAGCGTGTCATTCTCTCCCTCGACCGCGCGTGTCACCCGCGTAACCCGCGTGGGAGCCGCCGTATTTCGCGAATGATGCCGCCGGATCGTCGATACGTTTTTACCCAATTTCACGCATCGCTAAGCCTGTCGCACGCCACTGTGGCTATTCTTCCCTATCAGATACGAACCGTTAGCCGCTCCTCGGTCCAATATGCTCCCGGCGTATTATTAAAATTTCCATTCCGCGCTTAATTTGTCCCTCAATTATTACGGCGAAATCAAATCCGGACGTAAACAGTAGGTTGCGTATGCAGAGCGCTTTGCATAAAGTACGTTAGCTCAACCGTTGCTCAAGATTATTAAAGATTGATACGAACGAGCAACAGTGAAAGCAATGGCACACTTTACCGTCTTCCTCAATAATAGAATAATACGGAAAGTTTACTCTTTTGTTATACGAATACTAACAATACGATGTAAAACAAAATGATTATTCTGAAATTATGGTAGTTTCTGCATTATTATTATTTGGCGCGTATGTATCAATGTATTATTTAAATTTCCATTTGCACCGTTGGAGAGTATTAGAGAGCATTCTAGTATTCGAAAGAAAGTATACTCCGACATACAATGATGAATGAATTTTATTATCTCCTGAAAAAGATGTTTTTCATTCTTAACGTGCAAATATTTTACAAAAGCTCAATTCCGCGTATTAAATTGTTAAGCATTTGCGCGTGTTTTTCTCGAATTTGTACGTCTTTTCGTCGTCTCGATTCTTTTGCATAATCGAGGATAATTTGTGCTGTTTGATCCGTTAATTAATGACTTTTCCTTGTATATCTAACACTCGATAGTTTGAGAGAAAGAAAGGTAGTCGCGACGGTTGTCTCTCTACGTGACTCGCCGGCTTAATGAACCAGTCCGCCGACCCAAGGAATTTAAGATCCGAGGAATCTCGATAACTAATGAAAGAAACGTTAAGTGTTTACCGAGTATCAAAGATTAAAAGTTCTAAAATTGAAACCTGAGAGCATAAAGAAAGCGCCAATAATCCAATATACAAGTTACCTATTTGACATACTTAGCACGTTGACTATTTCGCCGGTTTCTCATCGAATATTCGATAGTTTGAACGAAGTTCGAACAACCTCAGTGAATAAACGCAATTCCTAACGTACACATACTTTTTACCTCGTTTCATTAGCTTTCTATTAGCTGTATGTCTGATTTGATCGATACAACCAATTACACGATGCACGTAAATTAATGGAATGCGTCAGTATCGCAGCGCGCTGCCATCGTGACAATCAGTGCGTTACAGAATTTTCGAAGCGCTCAGAGCCGCAGAGACATTAAAAATCCGTGTTTACACGGAGAAAACAGAAAAAAGGTGAATTTACCTGGCAATGAACAGACCAAGGCGCGCTTTCGCCGAAGGAAACAAAATTTCCAGTTGTAAGAATCGAATTTGGCTTTTAAAAGCCAGAAATTCTGTTTTATCGTACTAAAACGCGTTTTGCTTGCACTCACTGTCTAAATAAATTCAACATTTTCTCGTGCACGAAATCTCATACAGGGTGAATCTAACATTCATACGTAACTTGGATGATATTTACCGTCTTACGCGTGTGTATGGGCATATGACTTTTCGGTAGGGATAGCCTTCTCTCTAGGAGCAGCCTCGCCTCGCAGTCTCTCTCTCTCTCTCTTTCTCTCTTCTTTCTCTTAATCGTTTTCTCGCCCCTTCTTCTCCCTCTTTCTCTTTTTCTCACACATGCACGTAAACTCTCTCTGTGATCACCCGATCCTGCGTGACGTCCAACCACCACGTTGTTACTCCCTCGCTCTCACGTGGCTCACGACATGCGTCACTGCCAACTGCCGGGCTAATACGATCTCCGATCCGCGCACGAGCCAATCACACAACCGCCCGTTGGCTCTCCTTTCAGCAGTCTCGACATGTTTTATCGGTCCTCCTTTAGCAACGATCAGTCCTATCGTGATCACCCTATCCGTCTTCCGGCGCTGGAGATCGACGCGATCGGCCGTGATCTACGAGCGTCCCCGGGGATCAATCCGCGTGCATCGGCTATCAAGATATTCAAGTTTGCCACTTGTCCCGGTGAGGTTAGCGGGAGAAATAGCCGGCCGGACGTACCGCCGAATATGAACCGCCGTCAGTCGGTTCACTGCCTCGTCCTCGAATGGACACCTACTCTCGTGGAGAGAGACCCGTTTCACTCTCGATCGTGCTCTATAGTCTCCTACCCGTTCACTTTCGCTTACGAAAGCGCGAGCTCCTTTTGCGCGTGGATACCGCCGAACGTCCCACTTTTGATTGAATGCTCCACTAAATAAATGGACCGTTGCCGACACCAGGATGTTGAAATATTTAGCTACTTGAGTTGCCTCAAACCTTTATTCTCGAAACTGTTCGCCGATTTCCTCTATCTATCTCTCCTCGCGGTCGTAGAGTGCTCCAATTTTTGAACAATCGGAGTCACTTAGATCCTAATTGCCGATTCCTTGGAACCTTGGATGCTTAGGTTTTTCATTCTCTCTCTTGAAATTCGGGAGAATTCTTTTAGATCCTTGACCTTTCACGATTACAAATCTTCGGTATAGTGCGCATTATATTCGAGCCTTTAAATCTTATATGTTCGCTCGATATGTTCGAGGCTTTAGCTGTAAACGTTCAAAATCTACCGTCTCACTATCGTCAAACTCTCACGGATTTTTCAGTCTAGAACTATCAAAATGTCGGGGTGAGTTTTGCACAACTTTCAGATATATCTCAGTCGAGTAAGTCCGAAGTCTTAGATTCGTTTAGAGCGTCGGATATCCGGATTCTCCGCGTGCCGACTCCGTTCGAATTCTAACCTCTTCGAACCCGGGATATCCGAAACTTCCGACCGTTAACATCGGAATACGCGATTGTTCGGCTCCCTTACTCGAAGTTCAGTGAATCCCACACGATGTAATCCGTGCGTCGACGAAGCACTCACAAACGAACAATTCGTCAAAACGACGCTCGATCCTTCCGAATGAAGGCCCGATCACGGCTGATTCCGTGCGAGAGGCCGCGTTGCAATGTTAATTGACGGCTGCAACGTACCTTAGCGAAATCAAGTTCGTTCAGCTCTCCGGCAAAAGACCGAACGCGACGCGACCAACTTCACGCACTCCGACGCACAATGAACTCCGGCGCGCGTGCCCGTAGGGAAGTCGCGTTTAAAGTTCGGACGCCGTCACCACGATCGGAGCAAGTCGACGCGAGACGCACGACGCTACTCGGAGGCCGATCACATAGCTGGTGCTGGAGTCGCGTTAAAACTACGATATCGATCCTCACTCCGCGACGGCACCGAACGTACTGAAGTGCGACGCAGCTCGGCTCAGCCACGGTGAACTGCCGCGTAGGTGGCGATGGGAGAACGCACAGTGACGTCACAGGATACCGGAAGGGACCGAGGGACGGTGAGAGGTACGTCGATTGCGGTATGCCTAGCCGTGAACGTAAAGCCGCATTCTGCCTTATCGACGTGCGCCACGCGAGCGAGGCGACATTAATATCGGAGGAGCTCCGTTGGAATTATTTTTCAAACTCTCTCGAAGCAGAGCTCGTTCCAGCCGGGCGCGGGTGACGTCGATTCCTTTTGCACTATGACTCGTAAATTCGTATACAAATATCGCGTCGATTGCCATTTAGGATAGTACTCGTGTCGACGGATTTTACGTTTAAAATCGCCTATTATATACAGTGTCTCTTGTACGCTACCATTTTAATAGACTAATCAATTGAGAGTTACACGATTCTCAGCCTTACCTATATATGTCGTAAGAAAGTCGAAAATCATATATTCTAGATAATTTTTAAATAGTAGGCATACATAACGCAGTGTATATGGTTACGATTACATATTTATTATATTATATAGCTAACTATCAAGCGATAAATTATACAAAACGTAACATGAATTATACCTCTAAACTACATTTCGTTTTCTCTTTTGACGTCGCCGTAATGCAAACTATATAGGAAAATAGTATGTAAAAATATTCTTAAATGTCCAGTATACATCGTTCAGGATTGCAGAGTATCTAGATGTTTAACGAATAGAAATCCTTCTGATTTGCATATAACGCTTATGACGGTCGAGGATAATGAGAGTCGGTGTAATAACATTTCTCTTCTCGCAAAGAGAGAGAGGAAGAGAGAGAGACGAGATAACCTCTGTTCTACTATCAAGATCACGAAATGCACACATTCTTGTACTAGCCAGTGTTTTGAATGAAACTTATAATCACATTGAGTTTCAAATATGTCAATTCTTCGCAGTTGATGATCATATATTGAATTTACTGTCCAAATTTCGTTCACATTTCTTCGACCCAGTCGAATCCAACTACACTTCCTTAATTTCTTTAACATCGAGAAAATTCTAGAGTCGTCTAAATATCATTATTGTTGATACATGAAATCTTTATTAATCACAGAAATGTTATAATATGCAGCGATTACATCAGCAAAATTAGTATAACATGAATTAAATTAATTAATCTTATGAGATGTGTCTGTTAAATGTGCATCATTTGCGAGTGAACGACATCTAATATAGACACTTTGAAATAATGTTATATTTTTAAAAAGTTTTAATTTAAATTTGCAGTCAATTAATATAACATTTAAAATAGTCAAAAAGATAAAAAACAATAATAATACGAATCATAGTCCCCTAGTGAGCAAAACATCGTTCGCACAACGTTACTACAAGTAAAATTTAATAGCTTATTACGTTTTTTAACGTACAATTTTTAACATATCATTATGAATAACTTCAATATTTCTGAAATATTTTTCCAACATTCGAGAGGTTCATATTACTTGTAATGTTTTTGAAATATTTCTAGAATATCAAATGAAAACGTTCAAGAAATAAAAACCAACGTTTTAAGATACTGACCTAATGTTTCTAGTTTATTCGGCTGTCATTAAATTCCAAACAAGTTACATCGAACAGAGTGTCAAGTGAACGTTCGTTACGTAGATAACAATTGCTAAACAGCAACCTTATATAAATAGCGAGGAATTAATTGATCAAATGAATTAACGAAGCTATCAAATGTTTTCGATATTTGTCGAAAAACAATGGCTCGAGTGACGTGGTAACGCATGTGCCCTTTTAAAATACTGCACTTATTTAAAGGCGTAAAAATTTCACGATCCGCACCACTAATGACCCAACGAAAAGATATTTCCGGCGATCGAGCGCATTTCGCCATTGTCCGCACAATTTTTCCGCTTGTTCAATCATAATTTAATTCCCGCGCTGTATGGCCTTTAAGCTTCAAGATTTATCGGGGCTGCGTTAGCGATGGAAGAATGCGGAAACGAGATGAGGGTAACGAAACGAAGGATGGAAAATCAAGGATAAACGCCGATTAACCCTCCGTCTTTAAGCCCTCTTCCTTCATCTATCCTCCTATTCTCATCTCCTCCGTCGAGACCCCTCAAGACGTGTAACGAATCAATCCGAATCGAGCACGAATTCAGATAAGTAGAACCGGGCGCTGGTTAAATAGGCAAGACACTGCGATAGGATAACGAGGACTCGAGGACTAACTTGTCGATTACTCTACGCCGCGGAGAGCTACGTATTTTATATTTCTTAAAATATATATGCACATCTTTTACGAATAACAAGTGAGAATTAGGTCCTCCAATACTGTCGATTAAAAACCATCATAATAATAATAATGCCTTCGACAATCGTTAATAACTAAAATCATAAAATATCGATTTATTATTAAAAGAGATATTACGATTCGTCACATTTATCAAAATCAAAGAAACAGCTAGAATAATAATTTTATTCTAATTTATATGAAACCCTCTTTCTTCGACAGATTGCACTTACGCGCGTGATCTATATGTTATTTTTATGAACATATTATTTACATCGAAATTATATTTCTGCCTTTCGTAGTTGCGTGCGTTATGTCTACACTTCGGTGTTTTCATTAAATAAAAGTCGACTTAAGAGTGATAGAAGAAACAACCGTACAGTTAGAAATAACGATACTGAAACGTTTCTTTCGACTATCATCAAATAATCATTACTTTTGCACTATCGATTTTCCATCTCTGAAAGGATAAAGCTCCCGGAAGCTTTATCTGGTTACGAGGACGAAACAAGAGTTCCTCGTAGGAAAAACGAACTGTCCTGTTGGTCACGAAAGCTCGCAATTCGATCAATCATTTCTTCTCTGGTCCCAGAATGTCCTTGAGATGTAACACGATCCTGGACACGAATTGCTGAAGAATCGGCTGTCGTGCTTTGCCGACGTCCATTACTTCCTCGTGGTTAGCCTCACAGTGATCCTCATAGTCGGTGACGCACTGGTTGGTGATGAGACTGAACGCGAACACGGTCAGATCGCAGTGTCGTGCAGTGATCACTTCATGAACCGTAGACATACCTAAACGTGTTACAGAAATTATTAACAGGACGAGTTTTTAACGGCTTTTTAAAGAGTATTATATTGCGCGATTTGCTTTACAATCACCCCACATGACGTGTTATGCAGATAAGAAAAGCGTTGCAAAACACATTTAAGCCTATAGCAAACCGTTTTGTGAAGAACAGGAAAAACTAATTGCTTATCTATGAATCAACATATATGTGATATTATTCACGCAGATATCATGATGTCGTCAGCATATTAAACGCCTTCAGTAATATTTTGCATCATGTTAGCATTTATCGCCTTGTTTTCTGATCGTGGGTAGTGTCGCTTATGTAACGGCAACGAGAATCTAATTAAAGTGCTACGCTAAAGATAATTTTACTGATCTGTAGCTCTATGATACAATTATTTGAATAAAATCACACACCGACTGCATCGACGCCCACCATCCTCAGCATTTTCAGTTCGGCTACCGTCTCGAAATTAGGTCCACCCAAACACGTGTAAACCCCTCTATGCACAATGTTACTGATACCCATTTCTCCAGCGACTTGTTTGCCAATATCCATGAGTGTGACGTTGTAAGCTTTGTTCATCGGTGGAAATCGAGGACCAAATCTGAGGAGAAAAAACTAGTGTTAAGAAATAAAGCGTGTTAAGAAAGAAAATATAGAGGTCAATGATAAATGAGGAATGTCAAACAACTGATGAGGACGCACGGACACATTCGTCGTTTTCGTGCTTCGATACGTCACTGAAATATTCATTTACTATTGTTAAAAAAAAAAATGTTAACATATTTCCTTCGTACTTGAGATTCGTTGCAGGAAGAAATCTAACAGACTCGATGAAAAAGTGAAAATCACACTGTTAACGAATTCGCTTCCGCCAGCTTCCGTGAGTAAAAAGGTCGGCGAGATCCGTCAGATCTTAAAAGATCCATGAAGAGGTCTCGAAAAAGAAAACGAGAGAGGAAAGGAGCGAGTCTTGTAGGAAGAATAGAATTAATTTATTTCATTGGAATAACTCCTTGAATCGGATTGATGAACTATTTGCACGGCGACATAAAGAAGCTGATTGACGTATTTGCTCAGCAAAGTCTTTCCGCGCTCTGCCGCAGCCTTGTCCCCAACCCCTTCATACTGCCCCCCACCAGGACATTCCTTCTCTCCCCTTCCATCGACACCTTTTTCTCCGAATCCTCTTACAACTTCTTAACCAGCTCGTTCTGTCGCCAGTTGTACCTGTTCTCGTTTCCAAGTCGAGTCAACTGAATTTTTTGTCACGGACGGTTATGAAAACATAATCTTTCCTGCCTCTCTTTCGATGCTCTTCTGAGCAAGCTTTCTTCTCGCCTAATCTAACCTTTGATATAAGCCGGGGAAAAAGTTCGACCCACCTGTCATCGTTCGGTCCTTGAAGCGGGTTGTTCCCAGCAAAACCCATCATGTTCACGTGATCCTTCATTATCATGATGTCGCCGACTTTGTAAGTGGGATTTAGACCACCGGCCGCGTTCGTGGCAATTAGATGTGTCACACCTACCAGCTTCATCACCCGCACCGGCATGGCGCACTACGAAAATCATCATCACGTCACATTTCGATTAATATAACACGCTATATCGACGGGCACTCATTAGGGCTAATCCTACCTTCCACAGCGGGTATCCCTCGTAATAATGAAATCTGCCCTGCATACACATGACCGGTACGTCCTGAAGATAGCCGAAGACCATTTGACCAGTGTGACCTTTTACCGTGGATACCGGGAAATGTGGAATTTCCTCGTATGGGAAGCATTGCTTGTCCGCAAGGGATTCCGCGATTGAACCTGGACACAACTCGTTTTGCTCATATGATCCTGTTTAGGAATAAACAAAGCTGTGATACGATATGCACACCGGAAATCCCATACTAGCCCATGCATGCGAAACACAGTACCAGCCATTATTGTATCTGATATTCTTCGTGCAAACACGCTCAGGAAGCTATATCGTGTGGTAAGGTTGGACAGCGAGTGATTAAGAAACTTTGCAGAAACTATTCGGTTCTTTTTCTGTTCAAATTAATTGAATAAAACGGCAAGTAATAAATAACTGTTCTAAATATTGCTGTTCTTAATTCTCCGATTTCCCCGAGGTATTCTGACATATTTCGTCAGTTAATAAGAAGTCCGAGAAAAATAATATATCTGAAATTTAAAATAAGATTTATCGTATTATCAGGTTCTTAACCATTCTGGAGGAAAAATAGATTAATTTGTTCCTAAGGACGATACTGCTTTATTTTAACGCTGTTAATCGAGTCACTTCTGAATCAGACGTCTGTATTTAAATAGGAAGTGGAGAATTAAATAAAACTGAAAGAAAAACGAGGATCAGAAGACACGGTGCTTCCGTGTTGTAAAAACGAGAAAACAATCGTTGTTATCTTGATGGAAAACTTGTTTTCTTCCTTATTTATTCATAGGAGGATATTTGCGATAAATTAGCGTCACAAGCACCGTATAAATCAATGCGGCACGTACACATTTAATGTATTTGCGATAATTATTGGCCAAAACCAGTTTTTATAAAAGAAAAAGCACTGTCACTAATGAATAAAAATGCAAGCATATATCATTTTTTGCATTTCATATCATTACTGCTGGAGTAAATGAAAGATAAACATCTCATAACAGTCACAGTCACATTTAGTTAAACACCCAGCGAAAACACGAATTCCAATGCTATGAATCATTTAATCCACACGAAATACTGTCACATATTGGTTATACAACATCAATTTATATCAAGTAGTTATAAACGAGCTACATGTATCATAAAAGTGCAGAACTATAAAGAACTATAGAGTAATCGGGTACTCGAATAGTCGAGTCTTTCGATTGTTTCCCGGATAGACTCGGGTAGCAAAACTACCCGGTTTGTACTACTAACCCATTCCGGAGCCGCATATAATTCCTATCTTCGGCCTGATTCTAATGCGATCCAGCAAATATTGTGCAGACTCTTGCAACGTTTCGAAGGAGTACCTGAAAAGCCACAGTGTGCGTTCAATACTCCCTACAATATATACATGCCAAAACATTAAACTATTCAAACGCACGCTTATTTAGTAGGATATCCTATTTATGTTCCAATTGCGCGCCCTTGAAGGTCTTCGCGTGCGAAAATGTCGAGGTCATAATTTGCTGAAAGTTTCTAATTCCCGGCAATAATTATATTTATAATTAACTGCTGGACATTGACGCACGACATTACGACGTCAGTATAAACATAGAGGAAACTTATTGACAGCGCAAGAGGATTCTTAGGTACGCGACCTAACATGGCGCCTTCCCTCTATGTCGATATCACAGAAACATATTAAAGCGTATTCGACAGATTGGTACTGATTAAGCGGTCGTCGTACCCGTTGCTTCAGCTTCCACGATCACTCGGCTACATTAAACGTTCCATCATAATTGCATGTAATTGCATACCTAGGCTTCGCGGTAATGATAACTATAGAAACCAGCTACTACCGTGAAGTGCCGCCAGTGCGAGCAATTTCAACATTTGAATGCTGCTGAGAGTGGTCACCCACGATAACGGTGAATTTATACATTTATCAGGATGATATTTCATGATTAGGCTGAGATTAATTGAATTTTCAATTTTTTTGATTCCGCGGAGTCAAAGGCTTGAGTTGTCTTCTCGCTTCTTTGGGGAAGATCATCTCGGGAGTCTCAAGTTCCTGGAACCTTCAAAATTCGAAATCTTGCATCCTCGAGACCTGGAATTCTGAGGCGTGATGTCTTGCATTTTCATGTGGAATAATCGAAATAAGCGCTAGAATTATCAAAGAGCCGCGAGCAAAGTTGAATTACAGCATTCGAATCGTTACGTGGCCGTTCGTTCATTTCAATGAACGAAAATTTTGCGTGTACATGCAGAATAGATGAGTTGTACGTGGACCTCGCATACAGAGTGTAACCAAAGCTGCCGAGTAAATTAAAAGAAAATATGTATAAAAAATGTGTCGCTATCGCGTCCATATCTGTCAATTAACAAGTGAAAAAACTTATGAACTCACGCTCACGTGAGTGAAGCTCACAAAAAGACACTTGTTTCAATTTTCAAGCATTATAATTCAACTGATAAGTTATCCAAAAATACTACGACTCGAGAATGTTACGTGTCGAACGTTAGCTGTCATGTGTCACATGACGTGACGCATTGATTCTGACGAGAGACCGACGTCACGTACATGTGACAACGACATTTTTGTAATCCAAGTCCGCACGAACAAATTTGATCTTTTTATGTCACGTAAAATAAACAAAGGCAGGTCCGTGGCGGACAAATTTCCTAGATAATTATATATCAATTTCTTTGAACCATGTCCGCACAAAACGTACATGAGGTCACACTGATGTATCACAGAGCCTGCAGACACAAAATACTCGAACTAATCGGGTTGATCTAATAGTCATCAAAGAGTCGTTGAATCAAGGTGGATCAAACAAACAATCTATCCGTAACCAACGGAATGTTATCCTTGAATGAATGCACGTCGAAGAAATACCGTGACGAAGTAGACGTAACTTTATCGCTGCAGCTATAATATGCATCGGTGATTTTTCTAGGTGACATTGCAAATCGAATCTTAAAAAAATTGCGTTAATGTCCGAGCATCCAATCACTTCGATAGAATAGTAGATCGTTTTGTAATTCTTACGTAACAAGTCACTTTTTTTGTTTCGACTACATATTATTCTCGAACGCGGGGATGTGAAACCCTTCATTTAAACGTGGCTTTGTTCAAAAATGTTCCGTAACTAATTTAACCAGGCAACCTCAGAGGCTTCATGCGATTTGAGAGAGAACGGTTTGCAGGTCTTTTCAGAACACCCCGTATATATTCGCGAACGCATTTCACGTACGCACACGTGTTCCGATGCATGATTTGTAATACCCCTGAAGCCTGCGTTACGCATTTAGCTTAAATCCGCTACTATTTGAGTCTGCCGGTAGTTTAACAGGTAACCGCACCGTTTTGTACTAGTTTCAGAGCGAAATTACATTGAATTGCAATGAGCGCGCGCGCGCGCGCACGCACCGAACACTTTGTTCGTTTGTTTTGCGTTACATTTGTGACGAGCATGCTTGACTAATTCGCGATATTGGGAATCGCGGTGTATCTAGTAAAGACAAAATCGCGGATTTCAATTGCTGTTTCTCCTGCATCTTGCAACTCTCTTATTATTATAACACTACTATGTGTTGCCAAATTGCCATTAACCTTAAGATGAGATAAGGTATCTCGAAAACAATTTTCACAATTTATCTATAATAAATTCATTTAAATGGGCTTTAACCGTGAATTTCACTTGAAGATCAGTGACGAAGATTCTTATCGTTACTTTAGGAAATTGTAAAAGGTTATAGCTCGTAATAACACCTTTACTTCGAGCAAAGTATTTTTGGTTTTGCGTTTTAAAATTCACTGGATAAGTTCGCTCGGAACTAAAACGTCCCGTTCAAACATTGATATGTATCACACTATCTGTAGAAAAAAAGATAAGAAGCAACAATCTCATTAACATATAGCCCGCGCTTAATACGTATATGTGGTATTTGCTTAACGTGAAATTCTCTCGCTTATTCTTTAATCTCTCACGTCGCAGATATGTCAAATACTATCTATCAATTATTGTTTTGCTGTTATTCGTTTCTTACAAAGGAATTTTCCACTGGTTGTACAACTTGAGAGAATCCGTTTTCAAAATAACTCTTAAATGTTTGGAAACTTACGTTTGGTATAGAAAAACTATTTCTTTTTTACACGGAGAAAATGTTATAGTAAAAATTATCACAAAATTTTGCAATGCTGGACCATACCGGAATTATAATTAAAATTATGATATGTAGTAATCTTAGTGATGTATTTCATTGTACATATCACTAAAAAGATCACAATATATGTAATAATTTCAGTCATAATTCCGGTATGGTCATAAAATTTTGTGGTAATTTTTGCAATACTTCCTTCCGTATAGGCTCAACAACATATCCAAATAATTGAGACACGATGGTAAGGTAAACGATATATTACGAACAGAGAATAAAAAGGAAAGTCACATCTATTAATGAATACAATATTTATTTTCGTCGCCAATGAATACAATGTTTGCTTCAATTCTTGTTATCTAACTGCTTAAACAATTGAAATTCCGGATCAGTCAAGCATTTCGACCATTGATCTCTTCTGAACTGCTCAAACTATTTTTAAGCTTTGTATTGTTCGAATAGTTTGAGCGCGTATTGTATTTACGTCCTAGCACTGATTTTGGTTTTCCCTCTGTTGTCAATAATCATCATACATGAATACTTAACATGTTCTTTCCCGGAAAATGTCTCTAGGAAACAGTGGATGATTGTTAAGGAATTTACAATTTCCTGCGCACTCCCCGAAAGGGAATCTGACTTACGTGTGTCGCATGTGCTCCGCGTTTGTGTCCATCGCACTGTCGTTATTGGTCGATCGCTTGGTGGCTGGCAGACTGTCGTGACCGTTGGCAATATCCGGGAAAGACATTTTCACGGCTAACGACGTACGAAACGAGTGTCACTCGTCAACGACGGCTGATAGAGATGAAGAAGCGGGCGATCGACCGATCAATTCGCGTTTGTATATCGCGTGTTGGCGACAAGTGGCTGACGTGACTTTCGTGTGCGCTTATTTTATAGAAGAGCTCAAGCGCGTGAGTCGAGAAACGTGAGCGGAAATGTGCCGACCAATGATACTGAACGCGTGCGGGTACATCGACCAATCAGCATCTGCAAAGGTCGAGGCGTCACGGGGCCCGAACATTAGGAGGGAATCAGCGAAAAGAGAGAAAGAGAAAGACAGAGAGAAGAGCACACAATGATAACCCATTATGGAGCAAGTGCGCCAATTATTGTTATTTATTCCGACGATGACGTCGAGCAGGCGTGAAATCTCACGTGACGCAATGCCGGAATAATATTCGCCAGTGGAATCCCTCGATTGAGTTCATATGTAAGCCCGCTCGAAACGATCACTGGGAGCGCCGATGATTGTTAGTATTATTGATTGGATTATTACTAAAAGCATTAGAGGCATCGCACGCGCCGAAAATCTAAATACGTCAAGATTTACGAGATACGCGTGTAATCGCGGCCGATTATAATAACAGTTCGATTGATTTACAATATCAGCATATAATTATAATCGATTAATTCCTCCTCTTGTGGCCTCACTGCGTTAATACGTCAAAGAACTTCTTTCATTCATTCGATCGTGGCCGCTATCGCGGGAGAGGAAATTAAATTAACGATTGAGAAACGGAATAACTAACGCATCGAGCTCCGTACCAACTCGGAGAATGTAATTCAAAAACTACGTAATAAATCTCTCAATTATGCATCAAGGAAACGAAGCGGCGATGTTATCCGCGAGATTTGCTCGCTTGATTATTGCTGTTTAATATATGCCCGGGTCTGATGTAACAGTCAAAGAGTGAAAAAAGTTGAAAGAATTATTCACCAATTGTACTCGACGCTTCTCTAACGTGCTCGACGTAATAAGCGTGCTGCATATCGCGCGAGGTCTGTCGCAAAATTAATGAAATCGCTAATGTGATAAAAAAACGTTTTCTTGCATACATTTTGACGAACCAAGGTGATCCTCTTCTTGAACAAACCGGCAGGGAGATGTTTTTCCCACTTCTGGAAACAGTATCTCTGTTTACCACTTATTCGATCACGTATTTCTGAGCGCTTTCAGTTGCGTCCGAGCGATGACTTGTCACGTCGTATTGTCTGTGGGCAAGTTTATAGCCAAGATGAACATTGTAGTGATTAGCCTGTGACGACACCCCCCACACGGTGATACCCCATCTCGGTGATAAGCGCCGTCTATGAGGTAGAATTTATCACGACACGATTAAAAGCATTCGAAACGCTGCAACTAACCGAGCGAAGATAAAAGTTTCCATCGCTGCTTCCGGGAATGAGAAGAACAATCTCTATCGATTCGCTTCTCGGTGAAGTTACTTCGAAGAAGATCACCTTGATATGCTAAAATGTATAATGCAAGACATTTTTTTCACATTAACAATCCGTCGTTGCTTCTGCGAGATTCTAAGTACGAAACGTCGCTTGGAAACGGAAGATATTTCTAACGTTATTATTATCATCCATTTGATATTATCCGTTTTATTAACGGGAAATAATCCCTTTGATACAATCGTTATACGTAAGTTGTAAGATAAAAGTACAGTGTAGATAAAAGTAAAATAAAGAAAACCCAAGTTAATTATAATAAACTAGAATAATAGTCATACTTGTGTATGACTATAATTATAATTATTATAATAATTATAATTATAATGCTGTATTGATTAAAGCTTTGCCATTTTATATCGGGACAAATTTTATTCCGTTCACGCGCACTTTTCTTCTTACCGCGGTCAAAACTTTTCTTTTGTTGTCATAACTCTTCGTTCTCGCGATCTATCAGATCTTACCCTGCATTGTCCCTGAGTTTTAACTTTTACAACTACTTTCTTCACATTCAGAGAGAATTTCACTTGTTGTAGGTTGGAAAAGTCGAGGCACAATTAGATCGAACCGGGAAAAGACGTGATTCGATCGTACAACATTTGGCTTCGTTGATTTTCGCCAAGGCGTGTCCAATAGGCATGCACGAGTACAATACGCAAAGGCATTCTCATGAGATGTTATTAGGTAGTTACTGTGCTTCGGAACATGCCGTGCGCACATATGGCGACACGTGCCCCCAAGGGCACGCTCGCGCATTTTGCAAATTCAGTCTGAGTCGGATTAGATCGAGCTAAGTTTAAACATATTCAATGCTACCCTGATATTAACGCTTTTAACTATATTTATTAAAAGGCAAATGTTCGTACTTTTCTTTAATTTTCTCTACTGACCATGAGCAAACAGTTCGGAAACTTTTGGAGGGGTTTTTTTATGAAACAATTTTGAAATTCTACGGCAAAATGAATATTTGTCAAGGAACGTGATTTATTGGAAGTGAAAAGTTGAGGTACATATAATCAGGTGTTTAGCACAGTTGGTTGTACAAATAAGATAAGGAGTAAACTTTTTGTGATAAAATAACTGTAAAATTATAAATCCGACGACGTGTCGATATCAATATTTTTAATTGGAGTATGTTAGATTCAGTTTTTATATTATGTTAAGATATAATTGATACGATGCAATATATAAAAGATATGAAGTTTTTTCATAGAACTTCACTTAGTGCAAACTATAGATAATTTTATAATTAAATTAAATAGATTAAATTAAATTAAATAGATTTAATTAAATTAAATAGATTAAATTTAATAGATAATTTTATCTGCCAGTTTTTCTAAATAACTTTTTCTACGATAAGGAGTATTAAAACGGATATCAAGATAAATAATTGTTTTTCATCAAACGTCCGCCGAGAAAAGTTTTAATCCGTTAAATCCGCCCAAGAATTTGGAGAAAAATGGTTAGAAAATTCTTTGCCTGCTGTGTATCGAAAAGTAAATAATTATACAAAATACTATATGTCTTCTGTAATATTTAGAAAAGTATTTTTACTACGAAAGCAGAAACGAGTAATTTTTTGTTACTATTTCATTATTTCTGCACTGTAATACAGTGATTATAGTAATTATGATAACTAGTATTCTAAAGGCTCATAAAAAAATCGGAAAATTTCGGAAAAAAAACCTGTTGTTTACCGGTTTTTTTCCTAAAATTTGGAAAAATAGGAAAAATATAAAAATCGGTGTGTTGTCACGCTAATGTTGAAAACAAGGAAAAATATACAGAGATCAACAGTTTTCTTCTTTTCCGATTAATTGTAAGAGGAGCAAAATATTTCTTGCAATCAGAAGGAAATAATTTGTTGTAAATACCTTACTATTAGTAGTCATTAGGAAATCTTCTTTTTTCCTTATCTCTTTCCATATTTTGTGAAAAATATGAACAACTTGTCGCGCAGCTATTAATAGTGCCGCGCACGTTCATTTGAAATCGTTCGCTTAAATATCACCAATATACTATCTTTGAGTTAAATGTAAAAGAAAATTAAAAAGTACATACAGTAAAAAATAAAATTTCCTAAAAATTCTAAACGGAGAAATCTGATCTGAGGACATATCTGCGTATTCTGTGGACAAATATAATATTTTTCCCAAATGACGGTCTTTATCTTGTTTTTTTTCCAGAAAAAAGCTTATTTCTCCTGGAGGCAATATTTCCCAGAAGAAATTTAAAAGCACTAATGATAAAATATACACAATTATTTTGAAAATAATTCCATTATATTATTTTCATACGAATCGATTACATTCTCTCAGAAAAATTGTGCAAATTAATTTTGTTATCAAACCCAATATAAAATTTAGCAATATAAACGAAATATACGCGAAAATGAAGTTTATAAAAGATGGTTCTCTTTCTTAAAAATTAACGATAATAAATTACTAAAAAATAATTCGATTTGCATTGCGATTATAAAGTTGATTAATATCCTGTTTAACAATGCCATAGTAGACGCCACTGCACTCTTATTATTAATTTAAGCCATAATTTACGATAAGTTATTGCGCTCTTTGTAGGTCAAGCGATAAGACAGAACCCCAGCGGATCTGTACATTCGGGTTTGGTTTGACGTTCTTGCGTTTGCTCTCGATTTCGTTATTTATCAGACGCATGATGAAATCTTTTCATTACTCGTTCAGTTCAGAGTAAAGCAACAATATATATCATTGTTCTATGCGATATCGATTTTGCTCCTTAATTTCTAAACAAACATACAAGCATCACTCTATTATTTTATATATCTTTATAAACTTATAAAAATATTTTTTTTTCCTTCTTTATTTATTTATTTATTTGTACTTATTTAGAGACACGCTAAGGGAACTACCGCATAAAAGTATAAGCTCTCACGATTCTCTGTTTAGAAATGCAAGAGTTGAAGACTTTCCCGATGGGACAAATATTTATCGGTTCAATGGAATGAGCAAACAAGCGCGATAGAATCGTCATTACGAAAGTAAGAACGTCAAACAAAACCTAAGTGTCAACCACAGAGATCCACACTGGGGTGCTGCCTTATCGAGTGACCTCACAATAACTTATCGTGAGCCACGGTAACAAATTTAAAAGCGCGATTGCGTACAAGTGCTACGACCACCATTGAAGACGATGCTAATCAACTATGTAATCACACACACAAGACGTAGTAGCTAAGCCGATTATGCACGTAGCGTGTTCACGTGCAAGGGAGCGCATTGCCGTTATCAGGATTGTATTAGTTAGCATATCGAAATGTGGGTTATGTTACAATATCAACTTTTATCTAATCTCTATCTAGCACCAATGTGACATAAATCTGAAAATGATCGCTAAATGGAAATCGCATGCCAGGACTGTCTAGCAGCTATACCAGTTACACAGGCAGTGGTTAAAAAGAAAAGATTACATTAAGCTGAGATAATTTAATTTCTATTCAAGATTTACAGATTACAGTTTTCTATCACTATCTATATTTTATCTATATCTATATCTGTAGTTAAATTTGAGAAATACATACCTAAAATATATTAAATCTAAAATAGTCTAATAGTAGGTGTAACACACAAAACTTTGTTGATATCTGTCGTTATAATCCTTTTAGCTCAATTCAAAATATGTTTCAGCAATCGGCTAATGTCTTCTACAACAAACCTTTTGCATATATATTTTATTAGATCATAAGACAAGGGAAGTACGTCGATTGTTAATATACCGACATATTACACGTATCTACTTTGTAAATAGTTTTGTATTACTCACGATTTTTGCGAAACACTTTCAATCTGTGACACAATGTCCATAACAAATTAGGGAACTCCAGAAATGTCAGTATAAGAGAGAGACACTGCCGTTCAATGTTAGAATTTCAACGTCACAGTTTTTGTCGGTAAGAGTGAAAAGTAAGAGTGACAATAATAACTGATCAATAGTTGATAGTTTAAGTTTCTGAGAGTCGGTAAGTTACCAGGGTCGGTAAGTTCCTAGGAGTAAGTCTCCGAGGTGGATAAGTTCCGAAGATCGGTAAGTTACCAGGGTCTATACGTTTCCGAAGGGCGGTAAATTTTTTGATTGTGCATCGCGTAGGCAGAGTGAGATTCAAGGATTTCAATTTTTGGATAGATTCAAGTAAACATGGGACCCTGGTTGTTCAATTTCTTACGTAAATTCAGGAACAGTACACTAGATTTAACATACCGAAGACATGCAGAGGCGCCATCTGTTGCGGCCTGCGCATATTAATACGTTGGTATCGACAAATCTTTTTCACGACGACCGGATTTGAATTCTCCGCTGCTACGACCCGACGAAGACGCTACGCTGTGTTGACATTCCCGATCACGGTCCTCACGTGAGATAATCCTTTTCGGTGAAGAACATGACGAACGTACGACACTTGCCCGACACTATGAAACGCGTGGCAGCAAAATTTGTTCCAAAATTGTTGAATTTTGAACAAAAACAGCGGCGAATGGAAGTTGCTCAGGAGTCACTAAATGAAGTCAACGACGATGCAGAATTACTGAAACGTGTTATAACAGGTGACGAAACATGGGTTTACGGATATGACGTCGAAACTAAAGCTCAATCGTCCCAGTGGAGGCATTCTGGCTCGCCAAGACCGAAAAAGGCTCGACAAGTGCGGTCGAACGTGAAGGTTATGCTCACTTTGTTCTTCGATTTTAATGGCATAGTGCATCATGAATTCTTGCCACGAGGTTAAACGGTCAATAAGGAGTTCTACCTACAAGTTCAACGCCGTTTGCGTGAAGCAATCCGAAAAAAACGCCCGGATTTGTGGAAAAACAATTCATGGCTTTTGCACCACGATAATGCACCTGCTCACACTTCATTGCTTGTTCGTGAATTTTTGGCCAAAAACAATACTGTAACGATGCCCCAGCCTTCATATTCGCCAGATATGGCTCCGTGTGACTTTTTCCTATTTCCAAAAATAAAGAGAACCTTAAAGGACCGTCGTTTTACAAGCATAGATGACATTAAAAGCGCATCGCTGAAAGAGCTAAAGGCTATCCCAAAGATCGAGTTTGAGAAGTGCTTCGAGGATTGGAAGAAGCGCTGGCACAAGTGCATAATATCTAATGGGGATTATTTTGAAGGCGACAACATTAATGTAGACGAATAAATAAATATTTTTTTCAAAAAACGAAAATTCCCGTTATTTTCTGAACACATCTCGTATATCGATTTTAGTCAACTTAACCGGTATGCAGCTCGTTTAGCATACATTTTTACATTTGTATAATGCGCACGCTATTTATCATGACCGAATTCTCCTTTCACTAGTAAAATTCCTTCTGTCTATCTTGTTATCTTCGCCGAAGTCTCTGTGACTTCGATCCGCCTTCCTTTCACTTCCTATCCTTTTTACCGGTGTTATAGATGAATCTTTCTATGCAATTTCTATTAGCATAATTTTTACATAATTGCATACGGTACTACAACCAGGTCGATGCCCGCGAATAATTATTTTACAAGAGAATAAATTGCACGTACACATGCGTGCCAAAGCTGTAAGGTTGTAGGTAAAAGTCAAGCAAAGCTGCAGAAAACAAGAAGGAATAATAATAAGCAAAAATGAAACAATCCGTTCAGCATCGGCAACTAAGAACAAGAATATTATATATAACTTCCACTATTTTTAAACCTCCTTCTGCAGTACCAGGTGTACCGGTATGAAATGAGCGTCAAAATATAAATGTCTCGATAGGGAACATTTATTTTGAACGGGCCTTAATTTTGTTTTGTTTGGTTTCTATGACATCTATCAAACATATTCAGTTTACATCAAGTTATTGAACAAACAACATCATATTTTTTCATCGTGTTAAAAATGTCGAATTTTGTACCAGAAAATGATGATTTGCGGAAAGCATTAATTTTTTGTTTTCATTTGAAGAAAAGTGCTGCAGAGTCGCATCAAATGCTTGTCGAGGCATATGGTGATCATGCTCTATCAGAAGCAACATGCAAAAGATGGTTTCAACGGTTCAGAGATAATGATTTTGATGTGAGAAATAAAGAACGTGGAAAACCACCAAAAAAGTTTGAAGACACCGAATTGCAAACAATATTGGATGAAGATGACACTTTGAGTCAGACACAAATGGCAGAAATGTTAAATGTTGCACAACAAACAATTTCTGACCGTTTAAAAGCTATGGGAAAGATCCAAAAGTCTGGAAAATGGGTGCCACATGAATTGAATGAAAGACAGATGGAAAACCGAAGAAACACTTGTGAAATTTTGCTTCAAAGACACGATAGAAAATCAGTTTTGCATCGAATTGTTACTGGCGATGAAAAATGGATTTATTTTAAGAATCCTAAACGGAAAAGATCATGGGTTAATCCGGGACAACCATCAACTTCGACTGCAAAACCAGATCGATTCGGCAAGAAGACAATGCTGTGTGTCTGGTGGGACCAGAAAGGTGTGGTGTACCACGAGCTCCTAAAACCTGGTGAAACCGTCAATACAGATCGCTACCGACAACAAATGAGCAATTTGAACTATGCATTGATCGAAAAACGACCAGAATGGGCCAGAAGACACGGCAAGATAATTTTGCTCCATGACAATGCACCTGCACACAAAGCAAAACTGGTTCAGGATACGATCAAAGCACTCGGCTGGGAGCTGCTACCCCACCCGCCGTATTCACCAGACTTGGCTCCTTCCGACTACCATTTGTTTTCATCGATGGGACACGCATTGGCTGAGCAGCACTTCGATTCCTACGAGGAAGTCGAAAATTGGGTGACTAATTGGTTTGCTTCAAAAGACGAACAGTTTTATTGGCGTGGAATCCACAAATTGCCTGAAAGATGGGAAAAATGTGTAACTAGCAATGGCCAATACTTTGAATAAAATGTTTTTTACTTTCCCATTAAAAAATAGTGTTTTGATTTCACAAAAAAACGCTCACTTCATACCGGTACACTTAGTAAATTGAATTAGTCATTCGAATTAATACTTGGCATTGCTTAATTATCATTAATTATTATTAGTTATTAGTTTCGTCATATTATAAATTATTAAATTAATAATATGACGAAATAAATTAATTATACACGTTCAACCTGTTGTTGTAAGCACAACGATGAGATATGTCGATGGCTATAAACGAAGCCACGGCTCGAATTACCAAACGTCGCTATGCGGAAATGCAAACCGGCATTCTGACAATGGAAATATCGAAATCGGGGATGGTCAGCGTCCACATTCAAGTGACGCTGACACATCAAAATCGTCTCCTCTGATTGAGACATAGGAAAAGTATAAAAGGGGACATGATTCCGGCGCGGGAGCGACTCTAGACTTTTAACTCTCGGGAACCGATATGCTGTCAGTCACACAAGTAATATTGTATCGGGCGGACACGTAATAAAGACAAGTTCAGTTTTTTTCAACAAAAGATAATTTATTTTACACCGAGCGTCACCGACCCCCCACTCTAACGCGCTTTGAAAGGCACCCCACATTACCCGCGACGACTCAACTCGCGCAACACTGTCAACAAATTAACTTTTTTACTACAAATAAAAAAAACTAGCAAATATTTAGGTTAATTATTTCGTTATCAAATTATACCATCTACGTTATCACGTATCCCTGATATGTTTTCTTATTGAGCAATTTGTATATTGAGATAATATATAAAACGTTCAACGTAAATCTTTTAGTCGAGAAGTAACCGTCGAATCGAACAGTTTGTAAAAGAATACATTAATATAATATCTCTATCTTATTACCCGCCGTATAAATTATATTTTGTGGTTATTATTATGTATAATATAAAAAATATGTATAATTCAAATATTTGCGTTTTAAAACAATAGATATTTATTTTTAAAAGAAAAAGTGAGAAAAAAGAATTAAAATTTATTTAAATATAAATTAAATGTATAAGTAAAGAAATTCAAAGATTAATTGAGATATAATTTTGAAATATCACGGTGAAATATCTCTAAATATAATGACAATAAAAATAATTAATAAAGATAGAATATTTCGATATAGTCGCATAACATATGTGGGATAATTTTAGATTAAGCCTATGTAAAATAATTTGATGAGGAACGGACAGTGTCATAAACATGATCGAGATAGAAACCATAACGATTAAGGAAGCAACTGAGATAGCTGGAGGAGACGAGCAACTATTTCAAGAGATGTTGGACAAGATCCGACATTGGCTGCAACAACAACCTCATCTCCCTCAAGGTTCGCATTTTAAGATTCGTATCAGCCTTTTTGATTATTTTTTTACATGCCGCCCTCGGATCAATGAAACATATTTAAATATATTTAAGACAAAAATGCCTACGTAACTTTAACAAAACGAATTATTTTGTCATTCGTGAAGCACGGATGTCGATTGTCTATATTCTAACAAAACAAATTATTTTGTCATTCATGAAACATAGTTTGCCTGCTTTCAGTCATTAACCCATTTGCATCCGTAAGCGGAATATTCCGCGCATGCCGATCATCTCCTATCACCGAGCGCGGAATATTCCGCCAGTCGCGACTTTTTTTATTACCGCTCGCGGAATATTCCGCATATGACACAGTTCACGTTTTGTTGTCAATCTGTGAGCATTTGAACTATTTTAATTGCATTCTTAAATAAACCATGTTAAAATAAACTCTACGAACTATTCGGAAGTCATTTACTGTAGAAGTTTACTGTGTATTGTAGAACGAGTGTACTGTGGAAGTTAACGAAAATAATAAAACTACCGATATACGGCCGCGCGCGGTGATATGGGCCAACCGTCAGTTGAACGCCTCTGATATCTGAACACAGAAACTTAAATAGAATCATAATGCAAATGGGTTAATGACTAAGTAACTTTGACATATTCTACTTTAATATACCAACTGTGTAAAGGAATGATTAAATGATGTGTATTAACATACCGTAATAATGAATATAAATCACAGGGATTTCGGACAAACGATTACAGATCACTCTTTTAACTTCAAAACTTGATCTGGAGAAATCTAAGAAACGTATAGACTTGCTATACACTCTTCGTACTCTGCTTCCCGAAGTTTTCGCCGACTATGACCCGCTATGCGACAGTATTGCTCAACTTCACAAATGCATGTAAGTGTAAATCATATGTCATTGTTATATTCTCTTATGCTGATTTTCATAACATTTTATATACAAAAACGAATACTAAATAATATTTTATATACAAAAACGAATACTAAAAGTGATAATCATAAATACTAATTAAAATTTAATGTAATATTAAAAAAGATAAATAAGAAATATTATAATTTGTGTGTATAAAAATGGATATTAACGTAATTATTTCGGATAATTTTAATTAAAAGACAAGTATCTCGTTTTCCAAATTAAATGTATTAATTGTGCATTTTATAAAATAATTTAGAGAATATTTTTTATAAAGCATAAAATGAATATTGGCAATAAATAAGAAAACTAATGGCGAAACGTCATTTAATAAAATAAATCATTATCCGTGTATAATCGAATTCTAGTTTTTATGTTAAATGTATCTTCATGAATATATATTCACTGGCAGGCAATGGGTACCTCTACCAAAGTTATCACCGGAAAAGCACAGAATCCATGTCGTTAGGTGGATAAACAATGACAGCTCTTTATTTCATTTACAAGATTTGTTAAAGTACGTAAAAATTATACAAGCAAGTATATCATATCGGTACCTCAAGGACATTGAAGTTTCCGCAAAATTTTATTCCGCAAAAAAATCGGGATCTTCTCGTCGCGAAGATATATCGTCGCACAACAATAGCACGATTGCGCCTAACTATTAGAAATTACTTGTAGTGAGTCACGGGACATTATAAAAGTAAGTTTAAATACGCGCTGCATTTACCGGCCAGCAACGCATAAGTCATTGTATAAAACTACAAAGCGGACAACGACGATGAAATAGGAACGAAGAAAGAGGGAAACCGTGACCGAGCTTCATGCAGCGTTATAAACTTTTCATATTATCGGAATCTACACGCTCGGTGCTCGACGAAATGATTATTTAACGCCGGCGTTACTATGCCCGCGAGTAATTTCCGTCCGAGCGTTTTCACGAAACGCCATCCGGTCGATCCAATCACAGTGGATCGATCCCGCCGTCTTATTCCACGCAATCTTTGGAATCTCCTTTTCTTTTCTTTTCCCAGCCTGTCTTTCTTCATCTCCTTTTCTATTCGCGTAAAACTAAACACGTAACCTCCTCTCTCTTGCCTGCTATTATCGATAATGCGATAGAAACAATATACACACCTCTACACTCGTCTCTTCCTATCTCTACAGTTACACTCTACCGGGCGACACATATCGAGAGGAAAAGCTGAAATCGATGACTTTGTCGAAGCAGGATAAGAAGGGAAAAACCGCGAAGGGTAAAACTCGCGAAGCCATTCAGATCGTAGTCGCATTTTCCGCGCACGCTCTTGTATATCCGCAGTTTTGATCAATGAGGAAAACTCGCGATGAATCGTGACACGAAAGTTTAACGGATGACAATTGTTCTTAGTTTTGTTGTTGCTTATTTTTGGTTGGAAATAATTTTCTAGAAAAAATGCACGTCTCCATTAATCACCACTATGTCGCAATTTTTTCTTGAATTATTAATTTTTCGTAATAAAAATTAAATATACTTTTTCGCTATACAATATTGAACGATGAACTTAGGTCGAGTGCGTAAAAGATACAAATGGATTAAAGATGAAAAAATTAAAATTAAATCGAAAGACGCGTATATAACGCGGTTTTCTTATATTATAGATATACTTACTTACAGATATACTTTCATGATGTTAGATGTACGTGTAGATGAAGACGTAATTAGTTCTGAATGTGTCATTTGGGATTGCGCCAATGCTACTTTTGGTCATGTATTAAAATTCCCACCAAGCTTATTAAAAAAATGTGACCTTTGTCTGGTATGTAGTCGCACTCCACATATATTATATATCATCATGCTTAAACTAATTTGTGACTTGTTTAAATTATTCAGGAGGCATACGGTTTAAGATTTAAAGCAATTTATTTTATAAACGCACCAACGTATATCGATAACTTATTGGCGATGATTAAAATGTTTATGAAACCAAAACTTCATGAGAGAGTGAGTAGAGATAATACTGTGAAAACTCGCAATTATTATATAGTATGATATTGTGATAATTTTCATTTTGTTCCGTATTTGGTAGAATAAAAGAAAACATAATTTTCAAGTAAACTTCTGAATTTTTGACCAGCAGTGAATTTTTAGATAAAAATAATCAAATCCGGGGCAGATTCATTATATAATATTGTACCGAAATCCATTTTACCGGAGGATTATGGCGGAGAGGAACCATCAATGGCAACTCTAACTGGTAAAACATCAATCGATATTATGAACACGCAGATTTATTAATAATTTTGTGAACTTATTGTTTAGATTTTGTGAATTTAATGTTTAGATGACAAAACAAGTCTCGCAGAACACAAGTTCTTTTAATTTGGTATCTATTCTCCGTGAAAAATTGTCCGCTCTTCCTCAATATTTATCAACAACAATATTTATTCTCTACAACATACAAAAATCCGTTAATACTTAAATTAAAAACTCTAATTGTTCATTATTTGGATGTAGGAAAATGATTTAAAATGGAAAGATCTTATTTTAACTGTATTATATTCCAGATATGTGGCGTACGAAAGTAAAAGATCGACGAGCCTGGTTACTAGAACAAGAAAAACTTAAGATCAACGAGTCTCTCCGAACTGAATGCGTAATAAATATGGATAATTTATTCGGAGTTGCCGGAACATTTCGAAAATTAGAAATTGACTAACTCATTAAAAATAATTAATTAATTAAGATAATAAAAAAACTGCTCAGAGTTATACATTGCGATAGTTTGTAACATTCTAAAACTTCGAATATTTTTGCTTCGTTTGAGAAGTAATTTATCCCAAATATAGCATAACAATTTGAAATAGGGAAAATTGAGCTATGTGCTTATCTATTTGTTCTGAAACTGCCGGGTTCTTTTCAGAATTTCGTTTCCAATCATTGATTACTGTTAAACTTTTGCTGCTTTAAAGTATAAGAATCATAACACATATAGTTTCGTAGATTTCTGCATTTTTATTGAAAAATGTTTAATAAAAACATAAATTAGGCGAGTAATGTTTCACTATAATATAATATTTATATTTTGATCATATCTTTGCTTTCTTCGATCGCGTTAACAGAAAATACTGCAATCTCTCGTTTCGGTTAATAATAATCCACCATAGTTGAGTCGCGTAAAGAATGATTGAAAGAAAGCGCTAAGTAATTTACAATCGAATAGATAATCTACACTCTAGGAATTCCGAAAGGAAAAAGGAAATGGAAGATATAACAATAATATTAATAGTTTCGCTTTATATAATGATAATAACTATACGTATATTAAGTGAGTACCACGCGCGACATGCGACCTCATGGAAGAGAATTCGATTAATTTATTCGCGATCGATTTGTGCTATAGGTCGATTTGTCGCGCGCAGTACGAATCATATCCAATATGAACTATTGCATGGCACATTCGCTAAAAAAAAATCTTTCGTAGCTGCGTACTTTCCTTTATTCGTTTACTGCGCCAGTGTCCAAATGCCCGCATATTTAGTTCTGTCATTAATAGACCATTCAATAATTTATTATATAACCGATCGCCCGTACGATCAACATTAATACATGAATTTCGACTTGTCGAAATATAAGAAAGATGTCTAAAGCTTTTTTGCTAACCGGGCGGCACGAACCAACCATCCTCTTCTTTCGCTCGTTATTATATTTTTACAATTTACAAATATAATTTGATACATCATCTTCGAAAAATACATTCGCGCCACACACGCTTATCACCATTACGCTCCTTTAGAGAATATTCCTCCTTTTTTTAATAAGTCTGGAAACAGGTCAAAAACTTAAACAGCTTTAAACAATGATATCAATAATGTGACGACAATAATAATATAATAATAATAATTAAATTTATAGTAAGCACAAATATGTCACGTAAAGTAACGCAGTGATATTTAATGTACAGTAAAAATTATTAATGGATATCACGCTATCATAAGATACTTATCAGCTATTGGAAAGAATCTGTAAAAACGACCTTAACGTACAATACAAACGCGAATATAATTTTTTTGTTTTCCATATTTACGTCAAACGTGATCAAGCTTCGATTTTTGAATATGTTCTGCGAATATCGATCGGTAGAAACAGAAAAATAGCAGTTTTTCTAAAGCGAGCAACATTTCATTTTGTTCTTCATTACTTAAAAATTACTTCGATGTGTATTTCTCATGTACAAAGAAACTATTAATAATATTGTCATACGGTTGTCATACATAAATCAGCAATAATTGACTATTCTCACAAATAATCTGATATTCGTGCATTTCTATACTTTAGATTTAAAAATTCTTAAATAAACAACATTTTGAAACCGCGGAAAAAAATTAACGAAATGTCACTATGCGCATTATACTGCGGCAAATTTTAGATAGATATAAATTTTTATAAATTGTCAAAATAAAATGTTAGAAGGAATATATACGAACTCATATATACATAAAATCGCCTTAAAAAATATGGAAGAATTTATATACTTATTATTACATCGCATTGGAAGAAACACTTACTCAATATACTGTTGCAAATGACCAATGCAGAAACGTGATGCATTAGAAATGTACCGAATACATGAAACGTATACATTAAAAATGTTTTTATATGTAAATATATTAAATCTCGCAATTCATAGAAAATGTTTCAAAAATATCGCATTTACCGTAGAGCCTTGTTTCGAAATGACGAGAGCTTGAATTCGTATTACATTTTTACAGCGAATAGTACTTGTTATTCACGCGTAATTGTCAATCTGCGTATACACGCACGTATGCATATGTAAGACAAAAGTTAGAATAAACACACAATTGATATAAATTCTATCAAATTATTCTAAATAATATACAAATGCTGTAAATTGCTTCGTCAAATAATTACAATTGCAAATATTCAGAAAAATAATATATTCCTTTCTATTCACTACGCAGAATATAAATTTCGCGGTTTGACAAAATGTGATGTAAATATGATACAGAATGTAGTGACGTTTAATACATCATATCACTGTAATATTTCAACTTTAAGATCTCGTCACACTTAACATTACATATAAGATTATCACGATACAAAGACTAAGCTCTAGGTGTCTATATTCACATGGATATCAGTTTTCACTATTATTATTATACTATTATTATTACGCTATTATAATGGCAAAATTTCGGCTGTAACTAACTTCTATATTAATCGCGAATATATTACATATGTTCGGTGTGCTTGCATGTGACCTTCCCTGTACTTATCTAATATGTAATGTGTTTATGTATATACAATATATATATATATATATTCACTACGCATATATATATATATATAAATGTATATGTATATAATTTGTATGCGTGTGTATGTGTGGGGTGTGTGTTCGCGCGCGCGCGTGCGTGTGTGTGTGTGTGTGTGTGCATATATATTATACACCATAGCATGACTTATTTCTATAACTACAATTTCTCGATTACATTCTTGGTTTGATCGTTTCTTTCTCATTCACACACTTTTTCACATAAGCACACAAACGCATACGCATACAGTACATATCTTTCAGTAAAACTTTTTTCCGTTCTCATAATGAAACATCCATTTGATTGATATTGAGATGGGTACAAATGTTTATGCATTGGGCGTATCAATGAACCCGTACAAATGTATTTGATGCACTTCGTATCAAACATAAGCAGTTGTTGTAACACCACTAAGACAACATGTTGCTTATCTGCATGTCGCAAGATATTGTTTGGGGATTGTTCTCGGTATTCTTTATAGGCACCAGTGAATCAGAAGTATTAGCAGACTCTTTAGGCATAAGTACATTTGGAGCATTTGCAGATGCTGATGATAACAATGTTGCTTTCGGTTTCACTTTTGTTTTAGCTTGTTGCTCCATGCTATCTATTTCAGCCCAAATGCTCCTCACTTCCTTGAAAAGCTAATAACATATGTCTTGGTTTTAATATGTTCTTCTTCTTATCATTGTTATTAAAACTCAAAATATAATAATAAAATATACATACCTGATTCAACCATGTTTCGTCTGCTAATAATTCGTTTAATATTATTGTAGTATCCTTATGCGGATCCGCTACTCTCTTTTCCGTCACTTTTCCTGCGCATTCTAAAAACATCAGATACTTTTGATGAGCAACTTTATTGTACAAAGCTACTTTCATTTGGCAAATGCGGCATAGCAGAAAATCCTGGAAACAAAGTAAAAGTATATAAGTAAAACTTATTAGACTTTGTTAGATTTTATTAGATCACAACTTCGTCGTACCTTTTCGTAAGTTACTCTTGGATCAGGTGGCGAACCTTCCAACGTAGTACCATTATATGGTTGTCCATAAAGTAGAACTCTCGCATGAATTCTGGTTTGCTGACAACCAGCGCAAGATTTTCCTTTATATTCCGACCACGGTAGGTCCTTAAGCACATTAAGACACGGCCATGTCGATATCGCCGTTATGATATTTGATTTCCATTTCGTCATAGTCAAAAGGCGACGTTTTCTTTCGTCTGTTACTTCATCGACAGTTTTGACATTTGACAAGAAATAATCATCTAAATAATAAAAACATAAATGCAAATATTATGTCGTGATGCACGCCATCTAAGAATATTATATTTATTGTATAATTTTGCTTCACCTTGTTCCTGAAAGATCTCGGTAAGAAAATTGGAATCCAAAGCTTGCGAGATCAATGTCTGTATATATACTTCGAAGTTGTCTTGATATTTTTCGGTGTCTTTCATAAACTTATTAATACTTTCACTGTAATATACGATAGAAATATTATAGTTTTACAAAATTCATCGAGAATTTCGAAATAAACTGCCGCACAGATATTCACCTGTCATCGATGATCATCTCATCCCTCAAAAATTCCACAATAGTTTCTATTTTGCCCTGCTGCAAAAATTTTACTGGTACTTGCTGATATATATGACGATTTTGTGGAGCCCATCCAGAATACTGTAAAACAATAATAGACAACAATAATAGACAACTGTAAAACTGTAAAACAATAATAGATACTGTAAAACAATAATAGACAACAATAATAGACAACAATAATAGAACAACAATAATAAACAAAATAATGTTATATATTCAACTATATCTGTATTGCTTTGTATTTTTTCTTTTCTAATTTGACTAATTTGATACATACCGTGGATATGTTTCTGTATAATGTTTTTCCGTTAGATTTGAATGGTTCGTATTTCTGGAGTAACGTTTTGCCATCTATCCTCCAAAGAGGAGGATATTCTTCACTTAAATCCGTTTTGATTACGACAAATTCGCCAGACTGAAAAGTGTGACAAAAATATTATTGCTCTAAATTTTACCCAATGTTACATACTAGTTTTTATTAATCGCACAAACTTTAATATCTTATATGGAAATTTATGTTATTCTTTCATGAATTTTAATTAGAATAAAAGTGAGGATTACCGCATCTTCCAAATAGCCTACTGAATGCTGCATGCAAGAACATATATATACATACATATATACATATATACATACATATATGTACACACACACGCGCGCGCGCGCGCGCGCACATATGTATATACATACATACATACATACATATGATTATGACATTTTTATTTGTAAGATATATAACATAATACTGGCCTAAGAAGGACAACATTCTTTGGAGCTCTGCCATCAGCACTCAGACTATTGTTCATTGCACTTTCCCTTCATCAGGAGGGTTATTAGTACAGGCCCGTATTTCTCAAAAAAAAAAAAAAAAGGAAGCCACCAAGTGAAAACTTCCCTATTTACTTCGACTCCAAGGGCTATTCCGTAACCGTCTACCGAAGATGTCGGCTAGAGAATATGTCGTTGTCATCTTCATTGTTCACTATAACCGTTCGCTATTGCCAGGCCGTCGTCAATAGATTGAAGCTATTTTATATGAGACTGCCTAGAGTTTATCACATTGCATCACATGCACTTATTCGTTAAAACTGGGTCTATATATGGTCGCTGGCAGTCATAAAGTTGTGTAGTCGTAGTCGTTCGAATCGGTCCATCTCAAATTTTAGAGACTATAATCAATCCAGTCGTTGGAATTGGAAGTCGTTGAAATTAGAACAGAACAATGAAAATGTGCAGTCTAGCCATTACGCGCCGTTGTCAAAAGATAGTCAACACATTCGTGCCATTTTGCATCAGATCATTATCTACAATGCTCGTTCCTACTTCTTCCAGTACTCTCATTCGCAAACATTGTTTAATTAATTCCTGAATAATAATTAAGAAATTTGTAAAATAGTAGAGGATTTTTTTTCTGAGTTTGCTACAGTCTACCTAGGCATGAGTGTTTTGCCTTTATTTGTCAGAGAGACTCTGTATATATTATAAAACCCATTCAATATATTGCTTCCGTGATTATATCTTGGTTGCTTTCTAGTATGAGACACAGTTAGCATAAGTCTAGTTATATCATCATTTATCCTTATTTCGCATTTGGTAAAGGAAAATATAACTAGATTTGTATCTCTTGTTGGAACGCAATCCTTATAAACCAGAACTTCTTCAGTGATGAATATTATAGACCTCGCTTAATATTGTTTAATTAATTTCTTAATAACTATTGTAGAATTTGCAAAATGGTACAGAACTTTTCTGTTCGGTTTGTTACAGTCTATCTACACATGAGTGTTTTGTCTTTAATTGTCAGATACTCTTATATACATATATCGGATATCTGACTGTATGTACGATATCCATCATGTATATAGTCAACTATTGAACAAAAGAGCTCTATAAAAGTGATGTATCAAAATTTATTCGCTAGTCGCCAATTGGCAGCTAACAATGAGCGGAATAACGTTGTGAGCAACAAGATGTTTCAGGTACTACCATCGCAAAGCTCGTCTATCGCATCGCGTGAATCATCACAAATCATTCACAAATCTTTTCTAATAACTAAAAAATTATGTTTATAAAATGGTGGACTTTTTTGTTCAATCGAACTTATTTTATAAGCATACGACGAATATCAAGAAATAATCATGTCTTAAGCGATAGGATCAAGATTTGAAGTTTAAGGTTTCATATATACTGATATTTGTCACTAAGCATAATAACTGTCATATATATGTATACATACTTGTAGATTTGGTCACTCTGAACGAAAGTTTACCATTTGCACATAAATTTTTGAGTTATTAATTAAAGAAGTTTTTAAATATGACCATTTCCATTAATTAATTAATAACAAAAATTGTATATAGTTGTTTATAAAATGGTAGAGGACTTTCTTGTTCACATTAACTTAAACTATAAATATGTGACGGATAGCACGGTTTATGTCATATCTTATATAGTTCAATGTTCACAGGTGAATCAGCCTATATTTGTAACATATACAGGGTATCCTGCATAATTCCGTCCGAAACTATATAAAATGGATTAAAAATCCACGCTACCCAAAAATCTCAAAGCTACGAGAAACAGCGACACGGAGAAACACAGATTCTGTGGAGGAACGTGGCGAGCCGCGATTCATAAATGTCACAGTCGCGCGCACAGTCGAAGACATCTTTCTTTCAATATATTCGGTCTACCGCATCGTGCGCGCTGGTTCGCCTATCTATTTTCTTCAATAACTCAAAACTTTAAGTGCTAATTCAAAAAATGACTTCGACCATATTTTTCTACTCGGCCTATGGTATCCATTTTATATACTTTCAGGTGCGTTACGCTGGACACCCTATATATATGAGATCGATATTATAATTTATGATTTCAATTAATTCGTATTTCATATAATTATAGATTTTGTTTCTAACTATAGATCATACATTAAGCCGTGTATTTAACGCAAGTCAGTCCTATAGTGCTGACAAATTGTGAGACGAATCATGAAACGAATGAATGCATAAATTATAAAACAATATGATTGATAATCATGAAAATAGTATAATCGATAATCAGGAATTAAATTTATTACCGTTTGGTAATAAATTCGAATTATAAACTGTAATATCGGCTTTGTGTTGTTAAGCTAATACCACGAAGGTTGGTGTTTAACCACCACGAAGTGCAGTTTAAATTTAATTACGATTATTATATAAATGAATTTAATTCCTGATGATCGATCATATCTTTTTCATTGAATATCTCGCGTTGAACATACCCAGGTTCAACATAACAAAATTATTCTAGCCAAACAAACTTATCTTAGGTATCAAATATTTTAAATAGTTTTAAATAATGTATTTAATATACTTATAAAAAGTGTGATACCTGAGAAAATAAAATTACCTTTAAAAACAGATAAAAAAGGGAGCAAAGTGCACACACTTCACCGATGTTTTGTTATTACAACAAAAAAATACAACAAAAAATCCAGCTAGAAAATTGTATTAAAAAAGTTTTTCTTTAAATCTTACTCAGAATAATTGTACTAGCGAATATTCTATTGTCATATTAAATAATAATTTTTAGCTATACTGAGAAAAAAATATCTAAAAACAAACGAATATTTCTTTGATAGGTCCTTACACAATATTTACTTAAATCTAAATTGTCTTTAAACCGAATATTGTTTACTCGATTTAAGTAAATAATATTCGATTTAAATAAAATGAACTTAGATTTAAGTAAATATCGTGTAAAGATACCCACCAAAGATATAATCATTTGTTTTTA